CCGCATTTTGGTTGCCCTTTTATGAACTTGGCAAATATTATGTCCAGTGTGCCCTGTAAACGGAGTGCTTTGCGTAGCTGTTCAGGAGAGATTCAAATGACACCCTGCAGAGCGTCTGCAGCTAAGTTTTGTTTCTACTGGTGGTGCACATTAACACATGCTTCAGTGCGCATACAATTATTCCACGCATGGAAAAATCCACACGTGGATGGAAAAGATTAGAGCGAACATTGGTTAAGAACAGCCAGCGTGGATTTGTAAAGAACAAATCATGTCAAACCAATCTGATAGGATAACGAGTCTTGTGGATAAGGGAGAAGCGGTGGATGTGGTATACCTAGACTTTGGTAAGGCGTTTGATACGGTCTCACATGATATTCTTATCAATAAACTAGGTAAATACAACTTAGATGGGGCTACTATAAGGTGGGTGCATAATTGGCTGGATAACCGTACTCAGAAAGAAGTTATTAATGGTTCACAATCCTGCTGGGAGGGCATAACAAGTGGGGTTCCGCAGGGGTCTGTTTTGGGACCGGCTCTGTACAATATCTTCATCAATGATTTAGATATTAGTATAGAAAGTACGCTTATTAAGACTGCAGATAAAACCAACCTGGGAGGGGTTGCGACTAATCTGCAGGATAGGGTCATAATTCAAAATGACCTGGACAAATTGGAGAAATGGTCTGAGGTAAATAGGATGAAGTTTAATAAGAACAAATGAAAAGTGCTCCACATAGGAAGGAACAATCAGTTTCATACATACAGAATGGGAAGCGATGGTCTGGGAAGGAGTACGGCAGAAAGGAATCTAGGGGTTATAGCAGACCATAACTTGAATATGAGTCAGCAGTATGATGCTGTTGAAAATAAAGCATACACGATTCTGGGATGCATTAACAGGTGTGTTGTGAGCAAGACACGAGAAGTCATTCTTCCGCTCTACTCTGCGCTGGTTAGGCCTCAATTGGAGTATTGTGTCCAGTTCTGGGCACCGCATTTCAAGAACAATGTGGAGAAACTGGAGAGGGTCCAGAGAAGAGCAACGAGAATGATTAAAGGTCTAGAGAACATGACCTAAGAGGGAAGTCTGAAGGAATTGGGTTTGTTTATTTTAGAAAAGAGAAGACTGAGGGGGGACATGGTATCTAAATGGGTGTCATAAGGAGGAGGGAGAAAACTTGTCCATCTTGGCCTCTGAGGATAGAACAAGAAGCAAGGGGCTTAAACTGCAGCAAGGGAGGTTTAGGTTGGACATTAGGAAAAAGTTCCTAACTCTCAGGGTAATCAAACACTGGAATAAATTGCCCAGGGAGGTTGTGGAATCTCCATCTGTGGAGATATTGAAGAGTAGGTTAGATAAATGTCTATCAGGGATGGTCTAGACAGTATTTGGTCCTGCCATGAGGGCAGGGGATGACCTCTCGAGGTCCCTTCCAGTCCTAGTATTCTATGATAAGTCTCTCTCAGTCTTCTCTTCTGCAGACTAAACAACCCCCATTTTTTTCAGAAAAAAACAACAAATGGTCTGGTAGCACTTTAGAGACTAACAAAACATGTAGATCAGTGATTCCCAAACTTTTTGGCATCACGCCAACCTTTTTGATTTTTGAAAAACCCTCATGCCCCTCCCCCCAAATAGCAGCAAAACTTGTTGAGCAAAAAACAAAAAAAGGAACAGAACAGGGTAGCAAAACTTGATGGGGAGGAAGCTGAGAGCAGAACAGCGACCCCGCCTGTTCACAACAGCCTTCGGAATAATCTACCGCCGAGCAGCAGCGGAGAGTTAAAATGAACCAGAAAGCAGCTTAGAGTTCAGGTACGCTCACAGGGTGGTGTGGGAGAACCTTTCAGTGTGCTACCTGAGGCGCAAAGGACTTCAGAGTCCCCGTCCTCCACCACCGACTCCCTAAAATTCCTTTAAATCTGAAGTCATCACTTTTGAACAAAAACAAAGGCCAAAGAATTCCTGAAACGCCACCCTGTTTCAGAACAGGGCTAATTTCCCAGGCTGCGGCAGTCCGGGGTTTGCATGGTAACATATTCCTTTCCCCTTTTAACACTAAATAGCAAAACGCAAGCCCATGCACTGCGAAGGCGGCAGTGTGTCTATTTCACAGTTCATTGCCTGAAGCGAGGAGTGTTTTTAATAACTGTGTTACCTGACAGCCGTAAAGAGAGCAAAGAGCAAAACCTGCGGCAATACCAGTTGATCCTATTTGGCCTAACAGCTTGTGGTTGTTTCCAACTCTTGCCAGAGGCTTGAGTTCTTTAAAATTCATAGGGACAGCCTGCAGTTTTCAAGGAGGCTACCAAAATCCATCCTAAGATGTAAAAAAAAAAAAAGAGGGAGAAGAAGCAGCACACTTCCTGCAGGAGAACAGCAATGGTCAGCATTTACAAAGATCACTCCGGGAATTTTCCAAGTTAATTCTTTGAAGTAGATGCTACCAAAATGTGGAACAGCTTTCAAAGCTCAGCAATTTTTAATGTATTTCGGCAGCAAAAGAAATGGATCACAAGGTTGTTGTTTCAACTATATTATAACAAAAATATTGTGGTTTTCCTGTGCCCTCACAAAAGTAGCTTACGATTTACATCTCATTCATCTTATTCAGAAATAGCATTTTATCCAAAAATGAAAAGAGAGATCCCACTGCGTACAAAGGACTTGATTAACCAGAGCAGGGTGTTTGTCCGTGCAGGAGATAATGCAGACAGTCAACGCTTTTGATAGCAATGAGTTTCCGCTACAACCAATAAAGAAACGGGTAAAAATACAGAAGACGACAAGAGGAGCTCAAACTGTGCTCGGGGTCCTCGGTAACTTTATGGAAGTAATCAGGTATTTAACAAATCTTAAATAAGAAAAACAGTTACCACCATCCAAATTTAAACTGGACCAAGAGGAGTTATCTAAAAGAGAGCTGGCGAGGTTTACGTGCAAGTAAATAAGGGTATGTCTACACTACCCCCCTAGTTTGAACTAGGGGGGGTAATGTAGTCATACGGAGTTGCAAACGAAGCCCGGGATTTGACTTTCCCAGGATTCATTTGCATAAAGCCGGCCGGCGCCATTTTTAAATGCCGGCTAGGTCGGACCCTGTGCCGCGTGGCTACACGCAGCACGGACCAGCTAGTTCGGATTAGTTCGGAACGAGGTGTACAGCTAGTTCGGATTAGGAGGCCTAATCCAAACTAGCTAGTTCATGCCGCGTGTAGCCGCGCGGCACGGGGTTCGAACGAGCAGGGATTTAAAAATGGTGCCGGCCGGCTTTATGCAAATGAAGCCCAGGAAATTCAAATCCCGGGCTTCATTTGCAACTCTGTATGACTATATTACCCCCCCTAGTTCGAACTAAGGGGGTAGTGTATACATACCCTAACAGATGTAGAAAGTAATATTTCTTCCCAATTCTTCAGCTTTCCATAGCCCAGACTGTCATGCCGGATGGTGGCTACTTATGTCCCATAGGCTGTTTCTAGTTTTATCTAGTTGTATTCCCTCTTCTAATCAAATAAAATTCTGGTTGGATCTCCCTGAACAGTCCCACACGAGGGATTTTACAGGACTGGGGAGGTCAATTCCGGCCCCTCTGCTGATGGATTCCAGGTTCTTCCAGGATCCATCAGTAGTCGGCCTGGCTCCCCTCCAGGATCCATGCCCCTACCTGACTCCTCTGCCGGTCGGTCTGGCTCCTGTCCTGGCCACCAGCCTGGCCCCGGACCCCGAGCGGGGCTGTGCCGTCGGCCCTGGTGCCAGGCAGGCTTTGTGCCTCCGACTGGACTGGGTTGCTTGGTCTGGCCCCGGTCTCCACCACGCATCCCTTCCTGGGAGGGCTCTGCTGCTGGGTCCATCCCTGGCCACCAGACGCTGTCCACTCCTTGCCTCCAGGCTGGCTGCAATGCCAGCCCCAGGCTCTTAGCTCCTCCCCCACAGGCTCTCTGGCCCTGTAACAACCATGGTCAGGACCAAGAGTCCCACACTACAGAGGTTCAACCTCTAATGAGCAAGTAAAGGAGGACTCAATGCACTGAAAGGGGACAAAGGAGTCTTCTGTCAGTTCTGAGGAGTAGTTGATCATACATATATAATGTATTTCGGTAAGGATACTTAACCCTCGGAAAGGTGTCCGTTCAAAGCTCTGTATGGACATTAATCCATCCCCTGACCTCTCTGAAGTAGTATTTGCCTTTCACGGCAAGAGAAAAAGGGCTTGTCTTCTCTGCCACAGAGATCCATGCTGAGGCAGTGGATCTTCTGGCATTCAATTTAGCCGGTCTAGTAAAGACCAGTCAAATCAAACGCAGAGGGTGGCCCCCTGTCAACCACAGTCGCGAGGAGTAAGAAAAGTTAACGGGAGCATTTCTCCCATAGACCTCTCGCTGTAGGGCTGCCCCAGAAAATCAGTGTGAGGTACATTGACTCCAGCTATGCAACTGTCATCGCTGGAAACACGTATCTTAGATCAATTTTCTCACCCATGGAGACCTGGCCTGAGGCAGAGGAGAAATAGCTTCCCTAGATTCATACAAGTCACTGGCAGAGTTGGGTCTCAAAATTTCCCCAAGACGCATTCATTATCCAGCCCATGGTCTTACTATCCGTCTCAGACCTGATTTACCCCTAGGCATTGTCATGGTCAAAAAATGAGCTCATAGCAACTGTGGTCATGTGACATGTCCAGGAGAATTTACAATTAGACCAACCTACAAGACTTCCTTTATCAAATACAGGATCTTTCACTCAGTCTATTTCAACACAGACATCAGTTCAGTTCAATTTTCCGTTGCTTAAGGTAAGTAAAGAATATACAGAAGATTTCTTTAAGTTTCATAAAAGACTGGGATAATCGTAACTATAATATTCTTTTGGAAAAAGGAAGCGAGAGAGAAAGAGAGAGAGAGAGAGAGAGAATAATTTAAAAGCTACCTACCCACAAAAGGAACCAATAAATAATTAGTGCCGATATTTTTTCTGATTTATATTCACTTACCGAAGGAATACCTGCAAAATAAAATGAGAAAAATTAAAATCTAGGCTCATCAGTATTATAGACCTTTCTCTCAATTTATTTTTCTCTCACATGAACTCTGATTTTCAAAATGTCAACAGCAATTCCTCTGTACTAATGTCAACGTTTAATACCTAATGTAACAAATAAACTAATGGTGAATTTCTACTCACAGTGGCTAGAGAAGTAGGTCTTTGCCCACGGAAATTTATGTCTAAATAAATCAGTTAGTCTGTAAGGTGCCACGGGACTCCTTGTGGTTTGTATGGATACAGACTAACACCACCCTGATAGTAGAGGCTAGAAATGTGTATAAATACTGATTGTGCGTCCAATCACCAATTATTTATTTAGGTGTAAAGTAATTAAGATGTCTGTGCAAGGCTCCATGCTCCCTAAAATAATCATAAAAATGAATGCAATTAAATTAAACCTCCACAGCTTTGAAATCAGGTCTATTGAAATTTGGCAGGCCAGCCACCGACCCCTCCGTCACCTAGGAAACACACCTTCATCCTACTCCACAGGCCTTCTCCCACAGGTATCTTTTACAGCACTTCTGGAAATTAGTCTGTTTTAGCCTGGGCAGGTGGGGAGGACAATTATACAATCTCAGGGCCCTTACAGAGGACACACTGGCAGCTGCCTTTTCTTTTATCGTACAGGGAATCCAGCATGAGCATCCAGAGAGTAACACTGCAGTGAAGAAAGAAAGACTAGTCCCTACCGAATTCTACTCCCTACTTCCATGCCCTTTCCTAGAATCACAGGGTTGGAAGAGACCTCAGGAGGCCATCAAGTCCAACCCCCTGCTCAAAGCAGGCCCAATCCCAACTAAATCATCCCAGCCAGGATTTTGTCAAGGGTATTCCCTCCGTGCCTCAGTTTTACCATACGCAAAATAGCAGTAATGCTTCCTTGTGGTGCTCTCTGAGAAAGAGACACATTTAAAGCACCATCGAAATATTTTTAGTCACAAAAATGTGGCGTCTTGCTAACGAGTGGGGAACGTGTACATCCTGTCGAAGCTAATTTATCAAGGTTGGCAGGTTTCCAGAATGAGACAAGATGAAATGTATTTATTATTCTTCTGTCTGGGTTTAATGGCGGAACAAGCCACAGGCGGGAATGGAGATACTGCACTGTTCCCCAGGTCTGCAAAGATGGTCTGGGATGAAAAAAGATACTCTGTATTACAGGAGTGCCCAGGGCCAGATTAAGGGCGGGGGAGGCTAGCTGGGAAGCTGCCTGGGGCACCAACCTATGGGGGGCACCTGATGGCAGCTGTAAGGGGCACTGCGCGCCTGGTCGCATGGCGCCCCTTAGAGCTGCCATCAGGTGCCGCACGCCCGATTGCAGCTGTAAGGTGCGTAGCGTACCAGGGGGCTTTACTAAGCAACCATTTTCAGAGTCTAAAGGATATCAATGTAAAGCCAATAGCCATTCATCACAGGTGGATTTCGTACTCGGTTGATTTGAATTTTTTAAGCAAACAACAGGAGTTCCTCAAACACTCCAGCTGCTATGGGATGTGCGATATGAATGGTGCTAACGAGAGCTGATTGGAAAGCGGCGCGTCCCTTCCGCAGGCAATTACAACATCTCAAATTGGATGTTCAACGCACACTGGAACAAAAGCCACAATTAAAGAAGTTTCCCATAAGAATGAAAATGCCAAACTCAATATGACGTGAAACCATTCCACATTTCCTTTTGAGAAGCCACCCGCAATTTTTTTTGACTCATTCTTGACTTATTTGCTAACGAGCACACATCTTAAAAAACTATGATTTTGGTTATACTCAAGTCAAACTAAAACATTTTGACAAAAACTAAAACTAAACAAAGAAGCTGAAACAATTCAATCATTCATTTCAACTTTTTCCCCTTCAAAATGTCCTAAAAGCAATGCATTCCCATGAAATATTTTGATTCCCGTGAAACTGCAATTTCTGACAGTAAAAACGCTGAGCACACTAGCTCAAGGGGGCTTGCATGAGTCTGTTTCCTGGAATGGAGAGGCTTAATGCCCAGGTATAACACACACATACTCAACTGGACTAGAAAAGTGGGTAAATGCTGGCGGTATCATAGTGCTGCTTTCAGGGTGAGGCAATAAAACATGGTTTCTCCTGGGGATGCAAAATCCAGTTTAATTGGTTAACTGGTTAAATGTTAAGTTTAACAGGTTAAACAACTAAACAGGAGGGCAGACGGGGGGGACTGCGGACAGGGGGGAGCAGTCTCCCTGCCATGAATGGAGGCTGTGGCGGTGGGGCTGGAGCACTCCTCCCCGCAGTGGGTCCCCTAGGGCTGAAGCAGCCCCCGCCCACTGGAGGCGGAGGCATTGCTCCAATCCCTAACAGTTAATCAGTTAACCATTAGCATCCCTAGTTTCTTCTGTGGTTTTCACTCCCATTTAAGTACAATTAAAACTGGGATTTATTTTATTTATTTAAAATATTGTTACCCCAGCTCTCTATTTAAAATAGTCGAGGCGACTTACAATTAATTTGTAAAATAATGCACTATACAGATTGAACTTCCCTAGTCCGGCACCCTCGGGACCTGACTGGTCCGAAACAGAGAACTTTCCGGACCAGAGGAGGTCAATATCGTCTAGCAGCATTACCAACACTTCCACTGCTGACTGGCTCTTTGAGGACATTTAGGAGTAAATTAGAGCAAAATAACAGCACAGAATGCGGAGAACTAGGATTGGTGGTTGTAAACAAATTTTATGGGACTGAAAGAAACTTAGCCCTTCCCAAGAAAAGTGGACATCCAGCTCACTAAAATAATTCCAGACCACAGATGTTTCTGGACCAAAGAGTTCAGGACTAGTGAGGTTCAACTTGTATCACATACCGCTTTTTTTAAGACCAAATATGAAATGAGAAAAGTTAAAAAAAAAATTGTGTGCTACTGGCCCACATCCTACTCTGATGCATACATGTTTACTCTACACTCATGTGCACACAGACACACGCTTCCAGCGCCTATAAAATCAATCAACCCAAGCATTTTATTGCAGATTTAAACAACATTTTCACACAGGGCTACTGGTGCCTAGACACCCTTATTTTAAAAAGCACAATGTTTTAACATTCTTAATAAAAGTGGTTCTTTATAAAAGATATCTGTCGGAAAGGGCAACTCTACTTCACTGCACTCCACCAGAGTTTTGGTGCAGTTAAATATAAACTTGTATGAACGATTCCTTTTTCCTTGGCAGATGTAAAGAACCCCCCGAGGCCCGTTCCAAAAAACACACAATCAGGAATTAATAAAAAATTGTATTCTTTTCAACCACATTAAGTTTTCTGACGTGTGTCTGTTGCTGATTACATCAATCTAGACTCCATAACTTGTCATGTGATGACAGGCAAACACTTGTGAATTTATTTCTCTGAAGAAGCTCGTGATGCAAATGCCAAGGAAACTAAACCGAATGGCTCACTATGAGTTCATGAACACAGCGGGGTCTCTCACGGAAATGTCAAGGCCCAAACGACAGGAAGGTACCTAAAGCCCATTGACTTTGAACAGGAATCTGGGGGCTTACCTACCATTTTGGTTTTTGAAAAAATTTCCTCCTTACCAACACAGGACTCTTTTTTACATAGTGCTTTCTTCTGCCTCCTTAGAATTTGGCAGAAATGTTTAATAAAAACAGATTACAGAAAAAAGAGAGTTAAGTAAAAGAGTGGGTTTGGTTTTGCAAATTGCAACAGTGAATCATTTTCGGTCTGCAGATTGTCAGGACTGGGAATATCACAAACTCAAGATACTATTTTCAGTTCCTGGTGTATGGATTACATAAATCACATTATATTTCTTTTCCCTAACTGGATGAATTATGTCATTAGGCAACACCATGTGAATTACCTATTTAAACGCAAAATGGCAAATTGTGACTTTTACAATTGAACATACAGTCAAAACGTATTGTTAAGCAAATACGTGAGTTAAAATAGTGCTAATCACGCTGGAGTACTGCAAAATTCATGGAACACAGAAAGGGTATGAACATGTTTTTAATTAAATTTGCCTCAGATGAAAACATTCATGAAAGAAACCAAACATTCCAATATTTATACATCTGTTGTTGCTACAATTCAGTGAACTTGGAAATGCAACATTTTCCACACAAAACAAATTATATGGATAGCTAATTGGACATTGCTCCATCTTTCAATAATTGGTTATGTTTAAATATACAAACCTGACTAACCTACAGCCATATTCAGATCTATCCCATGGTGGTGACCTTCAGTAACGGAAGCACTAGATAACCTTCATAAAAGGAAGTGTAGACTCAGGAATGGATCTGAGGTTTCCAAAGTATTTTATTAGGAAATACATGAGTGTGCAGCAAAAGTCACCTGTCTCCGCTAGGAATGTGAATGACTAGTCGATAAGCATTTGCTTATCGGCCAGTTGACACACTAATCTACTAATCGCTTCCCCCCTCCCTTGCTGCCTCTATCAGAAAGAGGCAGTGCCGGGGAAGAGGAGGGGGTGCTTCAAAGCGGCAGCGCCGTGTGGAGCCAGGGGTCTGCCGCTTTGATACGCCGTGTGCAGCCCAGTCCCCAACAGGCCCCAGGCTACACACAGCATTTCAAAGCAGCAGCGCCACATGGAGCCCGGGGCCAGCTGGAGACTCAGAATAAAAGAGTCAGAGTCCTCCGCTGGCCCTGGGCTCCATGCGGCACTGCCGCTGTGAAACGCCTCTTGCTACACTTCAAAGGCAGAGGCGCCCTTATTGACTAATCGATGCAAATTGCACTGACTATTCAATTAGCCCATTAATCTAAATGTAACATCCTTAATCTCCATGCTGTAAAGGTACTCTGCATTTAATGTGATATAACCCAAGTTACCATTCACTGCTATTAGCACTAGCCCTTCACCATCTATTTAGAAGGTGATGCAATCTGGTAGGGACGATTTGCAAACTCGGCCAAAACTTGTAATCTCATCCCCCAAAAAA